GCCAACTCTGCAACCTGAGTTTAGGGTTTAGGGTTAGGACCGTAGGGGTATATACAGGCTTATAGGGTTCTAGGGGGGTGCACGGGGCTTTAGGGTTAAGAGGGTGACAGGGGGGGGGGGGGGGGGGGGGGATAATGGGGGGTTTGAAGGGTGATCGGTGGGTTTCAGGATCTGGGGGCATGAGGGTTGATTCCACAAGGCGCTTGCACAACCAAGCCAAGGTCTGAACACATGCCCCCGACTTTCCGGGGAAGATGGTGTGCATGGGGGTGTTCCCCCTTACAGTCCTTAAGAGGGTCGCAAGTACCCCCTATTGCAATCCCTTTAAGGACTGTTAGGGACAAGGGGGTACATCCCAAGGTGTACAACCCTACGGTTTAGGCGTTAGGGTTTGAGGTGTAACAGGGTTGGGGCACCGGAACCTTTCATCCAGCACCCCTCCCCAACTGGCCCCAGCACCCCCGGTTCCCAAGAAATTGTGGAAAATCTTTAGGGCTTAGGGTTTAGGATTTAGGATTTAGGGTTTAGGGTTTAACGTTACCTGCCCAACCGTTAAGCGAAGCTCAGCAGTTGTCAAGCGCCAAGGCTCGGATTTGCGCTCAACACCACAGATTCCAAACCCAACTCACATTTAGAGCTGCTGTTATCTTCGACAAGTTTTTTGCTACATCGTGCCGTATACTAGAATAATCGATGATCACACTATAGGCTTCCAGGGTTGGTTCCAAGGCCCTTTGTGTAAAGATTTGGGGGGCACCCCCCCCCCCCCCCCCCCCCCGATGGGCTTTTTAGGGTTTAGGGGTTAGGGATAGCTGAGGGAGAGAGATCGAAACTTCCCGCATTGTTAAGAGGGCCAAGCGGACGCCTTGGGCCCTGGCTCCTAGGATCTCATTGGGGTCCAGCTGACCATCCCCATCCTGGCCAGGCTGTTGAACAACTCCCTAAAACACTAAACCCTGGCCCTAAACCCTAAACCCTAAACCCTCAACTCTAAACCCTAGACCCTATAAACCCTAAACCCCAAGCAAGCCTTTTAGAGTGTGGGGTTTGGAGTTCGCACAGATTGGACACCTAATGCTGTACCCTGGGAATCTGTTGGGTTTGGGAACTCTTTGGGAGACCTTGGAATAAACTGGCTGGTTCTTAGTAGGGAGTGAGGGAATTAGGGCCCTATATAACCCCTTAAAGGGTATATATAGGGTCCTCATTCCCTCATGCCCTACGAAGAACCAGGGGAAAAGGCTCTTAAGGGGGGAGTGCACGGCTTTAGGGTTCAGGGTGTCTCTCAGGGCACAAAAAAGTCTACACCCTAAAGCCCCAAGGTTTGGAGCTTTTCGGGTTTAGGATTTAGGGTTTACGGTTCCTAAACCCTAAACACTAAGCCCTATAGAACTGAGGCTTGGCATTTCAAAGGGCTGAGGAGGGTAAACCCCAAACCCTAAATCAGGCTGGGCCCCTTCTGGGAGACCTGGAGAGATGCAGTGCGGGCCTCATCCAACTTTCGGAAACGATGATAGAGACGCGCAACATCCTGCAGCGCGGGCTTGCGAAGCGAGGAGGCTTAGGGTTCAGGGTGTCGGGGTTTAGGGTTTAGGGTTTAGGGTTTAGGGTTTAGGGTTTAGGGTTTAGGGTTTAGGGTTTAAGGGTTTAGGGTTTAGGGGTTTAGGGTACAGGGGTATAGGGTATAGCGGTTAGGGTACAGGGCTTGGTTGGGGGTTTGGGCTGCTTGGGGCTCAGGGCTTCGGGTTCAGGTTCAGGTTTTCGGATCTAAGGCTAAGGGGCAAGATCTTTTGGGAGGAAGATGAACGGCATATCAAAGTTCTGCTGGACTGCCCATAGTTGGCTTTGGAGGGTTTAGGCTTAGGGTTTAGGGGTAAACAACCGTGGGATCAGCGGCTTCCGGACTCCAGAATTTCGGCTGGGTGAAATAACGTAAACCCTAAACCACTAAACTCCAAACCCTGAACCCTGAACCCTGAACCCCAGATCCTTCTCTCAGCATCTCTCGTCTTCTTCCTAATATCTGGAGGGCCTGTCGTGAAGAGCATCGCCGAAGCATTCTGAAAACTCTAACAAGCCGATGCCCCGAAACCCGAAAGCCCAACCACCTACACTATATGTACGAAACCCCCCCAAACCCCAAACCCTAAACCCTAAACCCTAAACCTAAAGCACCCTAAACCCTAAACTAAACCCAAAGCTGGAGGCAAATGTCCTTCTGGCTGAAGTTGGCGATGAAGTGAATCTCTTCTCGAGTTAAACCTGATGCGGCGCCATTGCAACCGTTGCACACCCTAGGCCGTAAACCCTACGCACCCTGAGCACCCCAAGCACCCTAAGCACCGAAACCCTTCTGGGGTCTTCTTACCTGGCTGGGATGTGGCTGCCCTACTGAACATGTACATGAGCGCTCTGCCTTTCAGTGCTGGCATCCTGAACCGCCTCAACCCGAACTCCCCCCCCCCCCCCCCCCCCCCCTAAACCCGAACCCCGACCCCCTTCAAGCCTCAACCCAAACCCCCCCTCAACCCTAACCCCCACAAATCCTGGACCACAGAATTCAAAAAAAAAAACAAACAAAGCCCCAAGACCTCGGGATCCCCAAAAGGCCTTAAAATCCTAAACCCCAAACCCTCAACCCCATGCCGGGCTTACAGCCCCTAATCACGGGCTTAGGGTTGAGGGTTTAGAGTTTAGGCGGTTTAGGGTTTAGGATTGAGGATTTAGGGTTTGGGGTTTAGGGTTTAGGGTTTGGGGTTTAGGGTTTAGGGTTTAGGGTCTAGGGCTTAGCTTCGGGAAGAGAGAGGAAGACGTCGGGTCTCCACCGAATTGTTCCTGGGAGTCGCTCGAGTGATTTGAAGCCCAGTTCAGCGTCTTTCCCACTGGACTCCCAGCCCTAAACCCCAAACCCCAAACCCCAAACCCTAAACCCTTAACCCTTAACCCTAAACCCCTGGTTCTAATAAGGCACACACAAACAAACACAACACAAAAGAAACCTGGGCCCCGGACTCTCCGAGTTCCCCATGGGGAACTTCGAGTCTTTAGCTCCCGCAAGGTGTGGGTCAACGCTTAGGGGCCGCCGCACCCCCCCGTCTTTCTGTGCTGTTGAGCCGAAACATTTCCGGGGTTGGGGGTTCTAGGGTCTAGGGTCTAGGGTCTAGGGTCTAGGGTCAAGGGTCTAGGGTCTAGGGTTTAGGGTTTAGGGTTTAGGGTTTAGGGTTTAGGTGACAGATCGAAACTGCCTAAGCCCCGAAACCCTGGACCCGACAGGGCTTCAGGCACTGGCAGTTGGGGGCTGCCGTACGCTGCAACAACCCCTGGCTTCTTAGTAGGAAATGAGGGACATAGGGTTTAGGGTTTAGGGTTTAGGGTTTAGGGTTTAGGGTTTAGGGTTTGGGGTTTGGGGTTTAGGGTTTAGGGTTTCGGGTTTGGGTCCTGGTTCCTATATAAGTCCTTAACAGCTCGACAGGTGCCCAGAAATGGGGGTTCACGATAGTAAGGGCCCGTTAAGATAGACCCCAAATAGTAGGGTCCCCTTATCATAAGGACCCAATGAGGTACCCCGAATATCGTCAGCAACCAAAATGGTGCTGGCCCCGAACCCATGACCCCCTAAACCCTAAAGCCTCAGCCTTCCTCCAATTCCTCAATCCCGTTCGGGTTTTAGGGTTTAGGGTTTAGGGTTGGGATTTTAGGGCTTTAGGGGTTTTTAAGGTTCTAGGGGTTAAACTCTACCAGAAACCGCCCCAACTATCTTCCCACAGGCCCTCCCAAGGACCCGACAAACCCTTGTTAAGGGCGGGGGGGCGGGGGGGGGGGGGGGGGGGGGGGCGGGGAAGCTCTAAATCCTAAGCCCCAGCCAAAAAAAACCGCCCCCACAAAAACCCCTAAACCCTAAACCCTAAACCCTAAACCCTAAACCCTAAACCCTAAACCCTAAACCCTAAACCCTAAACCCTAAACCCTAAACGGCATTCGCAGGGAGGGCCTGCCCTGAGTGCATGAACTTCAGCGACTTGAGCAGTTGGTAGATGATGTACCTTTTTAGGGGGTTTTTGGCATTCACAAGTCCGAACAAAATCTAAACCCGCAACCCTAAACCCTACTTGAAAGCCCCCTTCGTAGGTAGGCTTGGTAAGCTGGGTTATGGGGGAGGATGGAGGCTAAGTAGACCTACAAAGCCAACAGGGCTTCCAAAGTAGGGTATTCAGAGGGCACCGGACATGCTTGTGTTGGGGCTGGGGGGGTTTTGGTGGATGATGTCCCGGCCTTTGTGAAAGGGTTTGGGGTTGAATACAACTTCGTCGGGGCCTTAGGGGTTCGGATGTATCTCTTCGCGGGGTCTTGGAGTACGGTTTAGACGGCGTAGATTTGAAGGGGCCAGCCTGATGATCAGGGCTTGCAGGGTGGGAGGTTTAGGATGTTCAGGGCTTTGGCTTCTGACGATGTACCTGCTGAGCATCTTAGGGTTTCGAAGCCCTAAACCATAAGCCCTAAACTCTAAACCCCCAAACCATATGGTTTCGCGTTTGAGTGGTTCGGGTCTTGAGGTCTTACTAGGTTTGGGCTTTTGCTTGATGGAGTTCAGTGTCTTAGGATTTCGAGGTTTTGGGGGCCTAAGGTCTTAGGGTTTTGACGCAGGCTTGTGATGGAGGATCAAGCAATACTTAGTTGCTGAGTTCATAAGCCCTCCAACAGTGTACACATTCAGTGAAAGTAGGGAACTATAGTATCCCAGAAAGTGTAGAGTGTGCTCACTCAGCTATGAAGAATATAGGTGGCTTATGCATGTCCGAGGCTAGTTCTTGGGGTCGAGGGTCTCGAGGCTGATAAACTGTCGGAGATACAGCTAAACCCAAACCATTGACCTTTGAACCCGAAACCCTAAACCAAATCCTTCACCTTCAAACCCTAACCCTAAACCCTAAACCCTAAACCCCAAACCCCAAACCCCAAACCCCAAAACCCCAAAACCCCAAAACCGCACCATCAGTCCCCTAGTCCCCCGAGACCCTGGATGCAAGATGTTCTGGGACTCCCGGCTGCTTGTGAATTTCTTCAAGGATATTGGCTCGGATGACCGCATGGAGGTCAGACTCCATGTAGTCACAGATCAAGTAGATATCCTGCAGTTTTTCTTTTCTCATTTTGTCTTGTTTTTTTTTAGGGGGGGGGGCGGGGGGGGGGGGGGGGGCGGGGGGGGGGCGGGGGGGGGGGGGGGGGGGGGGGTCGGGGGGGGGGGGGGGGGGGGGGGCGGGGGGGGGGGCGGGGTGGAGGGGGGGGTGGGGGGGGGGCGGGGGGGGGGGGGCGGGGGGGGGGGGGGGGGGGGGGGGGGGGGGGGGGCGGGGGGGGGGGGGGGGCGGGGGGGGGGGGGGCGGGGGGGGGTTGGGGGGGGGGGCGGGGGGGGGGGGGGCGGGGGGCGGGGGGGGGCGGGGGGGGTTTAGGGCAGGTTCCGGATTGAGGGTTTTTGGGGGGTGTAGATCAGCATCTGTAGAGGCACTGTTGGGTACTGAAGCCCAAAACCCTGAACCATGAACCCCAAAACCGCCTAAAACCTGAACCCAAAGCGTAGGGGTTGTGGACTCAGCGCGTACAACAACTTCTCAAGTTCCTGCCTCCCATTTAGGTACGCTCCAAACCGAAGCTCCTCGAGGACAAGGGCTTGCAAGGGCCTACAAGGGCTGGGTCTAAAAGGATGTAGGGCTCAAGTTCAGAGTTTCTTCAACACTGACACCCCAAACCCGACTCCCAACGCGCCCCAAACGCTCTGCATCTGCGCCTGGTCATTGTCAGCCTTGCCCAGACAACGAAGCGTTTTATGGCATTCTCATATGGCTGGTTCTCACAATTCTCGTCCCTTTCTAGGTACCTTAAATGTTAGGGGCCGCCTTGCAATAGTAAGCCCCGAACAAACCATAATTCAGATAAGTGATCATATGTGATTTGTTGAAAGCGTAGAGTTCAGGGTGTTTTGGGGTTTCGGCTGAAAAGGGACCGTGCAAGGCCTGAGGCTCCTGTTGATCCCGTCATCCTGCCAACGTCCGTTCCAGTGGCATCTCCGACCCCCCAGAACCCTGACATCTTCAACCCCAAACGAATCCCCCCCCCCAGTTTACCCTTATAAGCCCGAACTCGGGAAGAAGTCGGCACTAGGGAGATGACAAACTACTTCTCATTCGCTTTTGGGGTTTGGGGTTTTGGGGTTTTGGGGTTTAGGGTTTAGGGTTTAGGGTTTAGGGTTTAGGGTTTAGGGTTTAGGGTTTAGGGTTTAGGGTTTAGGGTTTAGGGTTTAGGGTTTAGGGTTTCGGGTTTAGGTTTTAGGGTTTAGGGTTTAGGGTTTAGCGTTTAGCGTTTAGCGTTTAGGGTTTAGGGTTTAGGGTTTAGGGTTTAGGTTTAGGCTTATGAGCAAATCAGTCGTCCCAAGTTGTGGACGCCCGTCCCACCTTCAGCACATTGAGCAAGCGCACGATATTTTCGTGGCCATTTAGCTCCTGAAGGTCTTGTCAGGGTGTAGGAATGAGGATCCCTTGAATGAGGGCCAGGGGCCAGGGTTCGGTTATGAGGCAAGAATCTTTCCCGAAGATCTGGTTAGGACTTCTTCATCTGACGTCTTGAGGGGGGGGGGGGGGGAGGCTGTGGGGGTGGACCCTTGTAGCGGTTCTCTTGCTGGGTAGGGCCTCGAGAATCCGAACCCTCGCATCTACCCCCAGGGCTTCTTGCTTGGGGTTCAAAAGCCCCCTAAACCCCGTAGTTAAACCCCTAAAACACCCCTAAAGCCCCTAAAACCCTAAAAAACCCCTAAAACACCTAAAACCTAAAACCCCTAAAACCCCTAAAACCCCTAAAACCCCTAAACCCCTAAAACCCCTAAAACCCCTAAAACCCCTAAAACCCCTAAAACCCCTAAAACCCCTAAAACCCCTAAAACCCCTAAAACCCCTAAAACCCCTAAAAACCTGAAACCCCTAAAACTCCTAAAGCCACCTAAAACACCCCTAAAGCCCCCTAAACCCCCCCTAAACCCCTTAGCCCAGCCTGAAGAAACGCCCTTAAACCCCCTGAAAAAAAAAACCATGGAAGCCCAAAGCCGCGGCCTGCAGAAACACGATCTCTCTACCCTACACCCAGCCCTCAACCCTAAACCCTAAACCCTAAACCCTAAACCCTAAACCCTAAACCCTAAACCCTAAACCCTAAACCCTAAACCCTAAACCCTAAACCCTAAACCCTAAACCCTTAGGACCCTAAGCCCTAGCGGCCTGCAGAAACATGATCTCTCTGAAGGTGCGCTGTGCATCGGTGGCGTTCTGAAAGGCATCGAAGCACTTCTTCAGCGCCACGACCTGGCAAGTAGCGGGGGGGGGGTTAGGCTTGAGGATGTTTCAGAGGTTTGGGCCCTTATAGTAACGCACCCACCCGCGTGCAGGCACACCCGGAGAGAGAGAGAGAGAGAGAGAGAGAGAGCGAGAGAGAGAGCAAGAGAGAGAGAGAGAGAGAGAGAGAGACAGAGACACACAGAGACACAATGAGCCCAAGAACAAGTCAAACCTGCAATAACTCCTCAACAGGGGGAGATACGAGAGCATTTTATAGCTTCGGGAGGCTGAGGTTACCGAGGTGACCTGAAACCGCAAACCTAAACCTAGGAACTGCAATAAACATCTATGAACAAACAACCCGAAACCCTAAACCCTGAACCCTAAACCCTAAACCCTCTAAACCCTAAACCCTAAACCCTAAACTCTATAAACCCCATAAACCCTATAAAAACCCTTTAAAAAAAACCATAAATCCCATAAACCGGATGAACCCTAACCCCTGAACCCTAGAATGCCTCCAAGCCCTCGAACCACCAGCCTCTCCCCTCCCCAGCGCCCACAAAAGCCGCTCAAAGTCTTCGCGCCTCCCGCGTCTTTTTGTCGATGGCTTTCCACACGATGCCGTAGGCCCCACGGCCCAGCTTTTGGACGATCTCGTACCTCGTGGTCACCCTTACTAAGCCCCAAGCCCTAAGCCCTGAGCCCTGAGCCCTGAGCCCTGAGCCCTGAGCCCTGAGCCCTGAGCCCTGAGCCCTGAGCCCTGAGCCCTGAGCCCTGAGCCCTGAGCCCTTTTAATAGCCCTGAACCCTAAACCCTATAAACCCTAAACCCTAAATCCTAAACCCTAAACCCTAAACCCTAAACCCTAAACCCTAAACCCTGAACCCTGAACCCTGAACCCTGAACCCTGAACCCTAAACCTCACCTGACCAGCAGTTGGGAGATGTGAATCTGCACGCCGATGCCCAAGATCCACGAACCCCGGGCTGCATGCATTCCAAGTCCCCCCGGCCCCCAAACCCCTAGAGGCCACCTCAACCCCATAAACCCTAAACCCTCCATAAACCCTAAACCCAAAAACCCTAAACCCGAAACCCTAAACCCGAAACCCTACAGTAAACCCTAAACCGCCTGAACCCTAAACCCTAAACCTAAACCCAAGGAAGTCAGAAAACTCGACATCAACTCCACACCTCAGTCCGGCGTTCTGTGCGGGCGCACTTCCTTAGGACATGCTCAAGGCCCGTGGTCCGAAGCCATAAACCCTAAACCCTAAACCCTAAACCCTAAACCCTAAACCCCAGGCGCACTTCCTCAGAACATGCCTGTCGATTTCCTCACTCATGGCCCTGGCAGGGTTTGGTGTTTAGGGCTTAGATATGGGGGGTTCGGGTTTGGGGTTTAGGGTTTATGTCGGGTTTAGGGTTTGGGGTTTAGGGCTAGGGTTTGGGGGTTTAGGGTTTTGGGTGGGTTTGGTGTTTGGGGTTGAGGGTTTATGTATGGTTTCGGGTTTAGGGTTTGGGGTGTAGGGTTTGGGGCTTGGGGTTTAGGGTTTGAGGGGTTTAAGGTTTGAGGGGTTTAGGGTTTGAGGGGTTTAGGGTTTGGGGTTTGGGGTTTACATATGGTTGAGGTTTGGGGCTTGGGGCTTGGGGCTTGGGGCTTGGGGCTTGGGGCTTGGGGCTTGGGGCTTGGGGCTTGGGGCTTGGGGCTTGGGGCTTGGGGCTTGGGGCTTGGGGCTTGGGGTTTGGGCTTGGGGGTTTAGAGTTTGGAGTTTAGGGTTTGGGGGGTTTAGGGTTTGGATGCTAGGGTTTGGGGTTGAGGGTTTGGGGTTTGGGGGATTTAGGGTTTGGAGGGGTTTAGGGTTTGGAGGGGTTTAGGGTTTGGGGGGGTTTAGGGTTTGGAGGGGTTTAGAGTTTGGGGGGGGGGGGGGGGGGGGGGTTAGGGTTTGGGGGGGTTTAGGGTTTGAGGTTTCAGGAGGGTTTGGGGTTTTTGGTTTGTGGGTTGTGTGTTTGTTTGGATGACTTTTGGGATGTTTTGTTTGTTTATTGTTGGGGGGGGGGGGGGTCGAGCATCTGCAGCCTTATTGATTTGGTCGTGAATAAGTGTGAGCGATGTGCCTTTGCCGTTCTTGAGCCAAGTGTCTGCCTTCTCTGTAGAGGTGGCCCGTGATTTGAAGATGAGTTGCCCGTCGGGCCAGGCGCATAAGCAGGCTTCGGCACTGAATTGCAGAGAACAGTGGAAGCTGAGAGCTGTTTCAACTCCATAACGGTCGCTCACAGCAGTCGGGTTGTAAACAGGCGCTCCTAAACCCTAAACCCTAAACCCTAAATCCTAAACCCTAAACCCTAAACCCAGGTTTCAGATGCTCCACATCTGTTTCCAGCTTCAGAGACAGTGGAGGAAATCCATCGCATCGCTGTCATTTGAACGCCAATCCTTGACAGCTTGGTCCTTGTCTCTTTCGGTGAGATGTAACGCTCATAGTTTGGGGCTTTAGGGTTTTAAGGCTTTAGGGTTTAGGATTACAACAACACAACTAGGGTTTAGGTTGGTGGATGCAGGGGGCAGAGGTTGTACGGTTGTAGAGGATGAGCCCGTGACCTTACAAAATAACTTAAGAAGGTCCTTCATGCACTCGGCAAGCGGCCAATTTAGTTAGAATGGGTATTGGAGGGGGAGTTTAGGACTCCATCCAATCAAATAAGGCAGACAAAGAAACCGGGAGGTGGGAGTTTAACGTGCTTGTCACAGAGGGAGTTGGCCATCGAAAACTGGTGGCAAGCCAACGAGGGGAGGGGGTGGGGGAATAGAGTTTCTATCCAAACTCCAGAAGGACATATGGGGGTTTACGAGAACAAGGGAAGCCCAATTTATAGGCCCCAAATAGTAGGATCATGATAAGGACCCGAATAAGGTACCCCCTAATTTCGGAAACCCCCATATACGGGGATTAGGTTGGTAGGTAGAAGTTTCAACTCATCCTCCGCCCTCGTGCCCAAATCGGAGCTTGAGCAGAAACCCAGGGTGTCTTGCCCTAGTTGAGGGTTCAGGGTTTTCGGTTCAGGGTTGAGTGTCTAGATTGCCCAGTAACCGAAAAGTGATGGGGGGGGGTGCCCTTTTTGTTGGTTTAACGCCACACGACAATGACAGAGTCAAACGCCCCAGATGCCACATCTCCCTGTATCGACACCCGAAGCCCACAAGCCCTAAGCTACCTCGCCAACCCGCATCCATCCCTCCCTCCAACCTTTCAAAACCCTATACCCTAAATAGGGCCTGAACCCTCCACCCCTTCAAACATAATACCCTCACTGGGTCCTAGGCCTCTCGCCAAAAAGCGGAGAGCCCCGCGTGCCAACCTTCCCAGGTTGCGTGCGGGCTTGCGGGCCATTCTCGGCTTCTAGAACCAGGAGTAACCTAGGAATGAAAAGGGTGCCCTAGGGTTTAGGGTTCAGGGTTTAGGGTTAGGATTTTGGGTTCAGGGTTTAGGGCTACTAGACCCAGGAGTAACCTAGGAATAGGAAAGGGCACCCTTTTTGGTGTTAAGGGGACTATAAGGGAACCCCAACCCGAGAACAAGGAAATAGGGCCTGCTCCGGGTCCTGTGCTTTCATTCACAGCATCAGTTCAATCAGTTCCCTCACACAATGACTGTAGGTAAACATGCTCCGGAGCCGCATACTTGGTAGACTTCCAAATTACTTGCCGATGTCACTGGAGCAAGAATCAGCAAGAATCTACAGTACACTTTCAAAGCCCCTTCATCAAGTGGCCCTGCGCCATTCGACAGCTCTAGATGGGCAGTTCTCGAAATTTCTGGGGTCCCTTTCCTGCCATAGGGAGGATACCCGGACAACACAGACTCAACCGAGTAGCTCTTAGTATGATATGAAATTGGGGAATGACCTCCTACGCCCCAGACAACTCTGAACTCGAAACCCTAAGTCCTAGAATCTTTGACTTAAGCCCTGAGCCCTGGACCCTAAACCAATTTGGGGCTGAACCCTAAACCCTAAACCCTGAACGAGGCTAGACTACAGGCCCACAGGCCCCGGGAGCCGGCTGGCTCCAGGCTTGCGGTGTAAGGGAGTGCAAGTTATCATCGGGTTCTTAAGGGACGGGGGTTCAAGGGGGGGGGTATGTAACCCGAAGGTTCCGACATACTCCTAAACCCTAAACCCTAAACCCTAAACCCTAAACCCTCCTAAACCCTACTCCCACTACTCTCCAAGGCTCCCTTGAGAACCCTATAAAGTTCGGGATTCCGGAAAGAACCCGGCCCTGGCCGCGCACCTGATTCGATTGGCACCTATATCATCAAGCTACACTGGCTGAGCCAAAGCCAAACCACGCATTGCTGCACCAGTCCCGGGGTTGCGGAAGGAGGGGCTGAGTGGGATGGAGGGGACGCGATGAGCCCGAAACCCGAAGAACCCAGCGTCAAAGATCGCACTCCTTGCAGTCAGCCCCCCAAAAAAACAGAAAAAAACATCTGGCGGGGCAACATCATGGCGACACACTGCACGCCCCCCCAACCCCCCAAAAAAAAAGCCGCCAGGCGTTGGGCGAGCTAAGGATGCGCGGTTGCAATCCTATCGCCGGGATTGGAAGGCATCAAACGGCTTGCTAGGCCGTTATGAACCCTCTGGACATCTTCATGAACAGATGCCGCAGAATGTGAGCTGAAGCTTGGGGTGATTTGGCTTTGGGGCTAGATGGAAACAAAGATTGCGCATGAGTGGCCAAGAACTTTAGAGCATTTATGTGACACGCCCTGAACAACCCAAGTTGGTTTGCTTTGGGATAGGTAGCGTGTCTACTGCGATGAGCGATGCTGCGAGTACCGAGATGACTGCGATGAACAGCATTGCTATTGCTGTGACCTGCTACGATTGCTATGACACTATGATCACTACGTTGACTTGTGTGGACTAAGCCTGTCATTGCACGAGCTGGAGGGTTGCGAGTTGGGGGTTGAGGGTTTAGGGTTCAGGGAATAGGGTTTAGGGTAATTACTGCAATAGTTGGCCGATCCCGATCACGTGTTTCCTAAACCTTCGAATTTGTTCCCGCCGCTCTTTGTTACTGAGCCTGCGTTTCTCAATCCTGCGGTTATCGCAGGGTTATGGCCCATTTAGAGACTGAAGAGGAGTAAGGTACCTATTTGGGGGGAGCTTTTTCCAATTAGAGGAGACTATCACAAAACCCTAAACCCCAGTCAACTGCACGGAGTTTTCACTTCCTTGCATCCGGTGCAGCGACGGCTTTGGCGTTGTTGCGTCGCCCTGTAGCATGCTCACATGGCCTGGCTTTTTGGGATTTAGGGTCTAGGGTTTAGGGTTTAGAGAGTTTGGGTTTTGGGTTTAGGGCTTAGGGTTTAGGGTTCTTCAGTTTCTGCCAATTCGTAGATTCCGCAGGCTTGGGGCTTGGGGCTTAGGGCCTAAGGCTTAGGACAAGCGGCCAGTTGTCTAACTTGCGGTCTCTTTTGGGTTCTGAAAAAATGTGGAGCCCTAGGGTTGAGGGTTAAAGACCTGCCCGACATGTCGGAGCACACGTGCACTCCATTTCACTCGCGATGCTAGTTCCATGGTGCATTCAGCTTCTAACCTAACCTGCACACTGGAAGTAACACGTGGCCCCTAAACCCCCAAACCCCACACCCTTGACCCACAAACCCTAAAGCACGAAAGAACATGAACCCTAAAACCTTGCACCCCAAAATACAAACCCCATAGCCGTATAACCTAAAACCCTTAAAACCCCAAAAGCCTAGAACCCCAGAACCCTAAAGGCCTTCAAACCCTAAAACCCGAAAACCCTACAACCCTAAAACCCTAGAACCCTAAAAACCCTAAACCAAAAAGTCCTGAATGGGAGTTTACGAAAACAAGGGCCCCCAAATATTCACTCCCAAATAGTAGCATTCCCTTATAATAAGGACCCCAATAAGGTACCCCCAATGTCGGAAACCCCCAAACCCTTAAACCCTAACACCTGAACCCAAAAGTCCTAAACCCCCAAACCTGAAACCCTAAAACCATGAACCCAAGAACCCTAAACCCTAAAAATAGGGTTTAGGGTTTAGGGTTTAGGGTTTAGGGTTTAGGGTAAGTTTAGGGTTTAGGGTTCTTGCGCGCAAAAGTTCCAAATCCTTAAGCCACAATCAACCGTCCCAGGCCAGGCAGTCCCTAATTCAAGCTCACTAACTGCTCCTCGGCTGTGGCTGGCTCGTGCTGCGAAACCCGCAACCCTAAACCCTAAACCCTAAACCCTAAACCCTAAACCCTAAACCCTAAACCCTAAACCCTAGGTTTCAGGGTTCAGGGGTTTGGGGACTTAGGGCTGGCGGCTGCTAGGGTTAGGGTTTTGGGGCTTAAGGCTTAGGATTTGGGCCCTAAACCCTACATCCCATACCCTATAATTCCCCGGGATAATGTTGCAGGGACCCTTAACCCTAATCCTTAATCCCTAAACCCTAAACCCTAAACCCTAAACCCTAAACCCTAAACCCTAAACCCTAAACCCTCTGAACCCTAAAACTTTGCAGATCCAGAGTGCAGAGCTCTTGGACCTTTCCATAGCGTTTAGGACCAACTGTTCTAAGAAGGCATTCAGGGGGAGACTCTGGGATTTAAGGGTTAGGCGGCGCACGGACCTTTTCAGGGTTTAGGGTTTAGGGTTTAGGGTTTGGGGTTTGGGGTTTGGGGTTTGGGGCTTAGAGGCGTAGGCCTTAGGGCTTGTGGCCGAAAGGGCTTCGGGCTTCTCCCTTTGATCTCGCATCGGCGTCGCCAGGCACCTCGTCAACCACAGCTCAGAAGGCTACTGCCGGAGGCCTGCAACTCCGCGCACCGGCTTTCCGCCCCAGAAGAGTGCTTTTGGGGGCCCGCCCACTAAGTTCCCCAAACCCAAAACTTAACCCTAAACCCTAGACCCTCAAAGCAATGCCTGTCAGAAGGATCCAGCCCCCCAAACACTTATCACAACATTAAACCCTCCTTCCACCCCTCATCGCCCCGCAAGTGCTTAAACTCGCACTCAATAGTCTATAGTGGGAACCTCTAGAAAACACCGAAAGCCCGACACTCCTGCCAGAGATTTTGATAAGGCAGAGGCTCCCATTCAGGATTCTTATCAACATGACGCCCCATATCCTGAGGCCTCAACCCTAAACCCCAAACCCTAAACCCATTATGCCTGTTGCTGAAGTAAACCCTACAAGGCCCATACACCCTACAAGGCCCACAAACCCTATGAGGCCCAGAAACCCTTAAAACCCTATCAAGCATAAGCCCTTGTAGGCCCTTAAGCCAACACCCTAAACCCTAAACCCTAGAACACCCTATACCCCCGCCGTGCGCACTTAGCTCTCGCGATCTCTCCTGGCAGATGACTACGGCGTCTCTCAGTCGTCGTCCTGGTCCTAGGACCAGCACATGCTCTGCTAGGGTTCATGGGTTAGGGTCTATATAGGGTTTAGGCTTTTTGGTTTAGGGTTTAGGGTTTTACAAAAATGGAGTGGGTTTGTTGGGGGTCAGGATTCACGGCTCAGGCAAAAGAGCTTCAAATGACTGAACCAAAGTGATACGTGGGCGGTTCTCGAATCATGGAACCTTCTTGGTCCCCCAGTTGACAAAGATTATGATACTGTAACAGAAGCCTGAAGAAAGGAAGGCGCAACCAAGACCTGAAACAAAAGACGTCATGATCAGACTCGGCATGTCCGGTTTCGGCAGCTTCCTCTGGATGTGTCTGTGGATGCCATCGTCGCCGCCCGCAGCTATGAGCGGAGAACCCAGCTACAACTACGGAGCTTCTGCGACGCTGGCGAAAATGGTGAGCCAGGAACACAACCAATGAGCCGACATGAGCCGACTCACTGGCATGTCTGTAAAGCGCACAGTGAAAGTTTCACTCTTCAGCAAAACTTCGCAGAGTCCTCTGAGGAAACTGCAGTTCATTAAGCAAAACAGGTGAGGCAGAATGAGGCGCTCTCTCACTCTCATCCGTCTCAGAAAGTCGCGGTGTCGATGACGAAGCGGTACTTCACATCGGACTTCACCACGCGGTCGTAGGCCTCGGTGATCTTGTCGCCGCTGATGAGCTCGTAGGGGCATATGATGTTGTGCTTCCCGCAGAAGTCCAGCATCTCCTGTGTCTCACGGATGCCACCAATCATGGAGCCGGTGATGGTCTTGCGCTTGGGGATGATGTTGAAGGCATGGAAGGACACAGGCTCCGGCGGCACTCCCACCATCACGAACTTGCCATCCTTCTTCAGGAAGTTGAGGTAGGTGGGGATGTCGTGCTTGGCCGCGATGGTGTCGATGATCATGTCGAGGGAGTTCGCGGCGGCCTTCACGTCCTCATCGTTGGCCATCACCACGAACTTGTCCGCCTTGAGCCTATACTCCGCTTAGAACCTTAATAAGAATACTATGGTTAATGTCCTTTTGGATTTTCTAAATCCTAAACCCTAAACCCTAAACCCTAAACCCTGAACAACAAAAATAATTCCCAAGGGGGATATAGGGAGCTCCGACATGGCCTCAGCGCGCTTGTTCTCGCTGCGGGAGATGACCGTGACCTCACATCCCCAGGCCTTGCCGATCATCACGCTTAGGCTTTAGGGTTTAGGGTTTAGGGTTTAGGGTTCGGGGTTTGGGGTTTAGGGTTTAGGGTTTCGGGTTTAGGGTCCCCAAGCCTTGCCGATCATCACCGCCATGGCGCCCAGGCCGCCCAGGCCAGCCACGCCCAACTTCTGACCCGCCTTGAGGCCGTTGTGGGCCATTGGGGAGAACACGGTGATCCCGGCGCACAGGAGGGGCGCGGCACCGGCCAGGTCAAGGTTGTCGGGGATGCGGCACACGTAGCCCTTGTCGACCACGATGCTCTGGGAGTAGCCCCCGTACGTGGGAGTGCCGCCATCCTCGGTGTGTTCCATGCCTAGGTTGCCCAGTAACCTAGGATTAAAAAGGGTGCCCTTTTTTGCTTCAAGGGGTTTATAAGGGAACCTAAACCCCCAAAAAAGGGAAGAAGGGTACTACTGGGCATCCTAGATGCAGTGCTTGTACTTGTGCTTGCCGTTGTAGGTCATCACAGCGCCGGACTCGCAGTAGTTCTCATCACCTTCCTTGCATGACTGGCACTCGCGGCAGCTGTCCACCATGCAGCCCACCCCGACCTTGTCACCCACCTTGAAGCTAGTGACGCTGGGGCCCACGGCCGTGACGAGGCCCGCAATCTCGTGGCCAGGGACCATGGGGAAGATGCCGGCAGCCCACTCATCGCGGGCCTGGTGCACATCCGAGTGGCAGATGCCCGCGTACTTGATGTCAATGGCCACATCATTGGGCCCCACTGCACGACGCTCGATGGTGTGAGGCACCAGGGGCCCCGAAGGCACCATGGCGGCGAAGCACTTGCAGGACATGGCGGGAACGAGAAAGAACGAAGAACACACGTGGGCCTTTTGGCAATGCCACGACGGGGAATTGGAGCCTGCCGAGCACAGCGGAGCAGGCATGTCTGAAGAACATCATGGTAAACAGCCAGATGATACGTGGACCTCACATTGCGGCCTTCATCTGCAAACCCTAACCTCAAGCATCGTGCACTGAACTACAGAACTTAAACCATAAACCACCCTAAACCCTAAACCCTAAACCCTGAACCCTGAACCCTGAACTCTAAACCCTAAACCCTAAACCCTAAACCCTAAACCCTAAACAAACCAAAGAGCCCTCATCCCTTGCCCCCCCGAGCTCTGTGCCTTGTCCTTGTCCAGGTTGGCCCTGAAGCAGCAAGCTTGGGCTGCGTTCAGGGTTCAGGGTTCACGGTTCAGGGTTCAGGGTTTAGGGTTTAGGGTTCAGGGTTTAGGGTTTAGGGTTTAGGGTTTAGGGTTAGGGCTTAGGGCTTAGGGCTTAGGGTTTCGGGCATAAGGTCCATAGATGCCAGATTGTGATGGTGATGCTCATCGTCATCACATGTCATCACATGTGCTATCAGTCATGGTGCGCCCCGAACGCCAACAAAAGGGCTCAACAGTCAGGCCCCTGAAAAGAGTATTTGGGGCATTTCCCCCAAAATAGGGGGTACCCCTTTTTTACCCCAAGTAGACCAGAATCCCCTTAAAGGAACCCCAAAAAGGGCACCCCCATGTTCGGAAAACCCCATGTAGGGGCAAGCACCATGAGGGCTTTCCGCACTTAGCTCGGGAAGAGATCTTCAAACTACGCAGGTCGCATTATGAGATCAGGTCTTTCCTTGGCAGGCCTTCATATTGGGCCCGACGCCCTGCGCTGCCTAAACCCTACATCTTTAATTTTGGGATGTCGTCCCAAGGGCCCCCCCCCCCCCCCAACCGGCACCTGAACCCAAAAGTCTCGGGTCTTAGGGCTAGGGGTTTGGAGCTTAAATACCGGATTTGGGGAGGCGTGCGTCCCTCCGGCTTTGCCGGGGGCTTGCGGGAATTTAGGACCTACAAGCTATATAGAACCTATAATATATACATATGTATATATAAATAAAAAATTAGTAAATAAATATATATATATATATATATATATACATTAACCCTAAACCCTAAACCCTAAACCCTAAACCCCAAACCCCAAACCCTAAACCCTAAACCCCATTATATATCTATATATATATATATATATATTGTATTTAAATGAATATTTAAATGTATATTTATACTTCCATAAATCTTCTGGGTGGCTGGCTTGGCTCGGCGCTCACGCAGCTTCTCCTTGAAGAGCTCTTCCTTCCACGCGCGCCCGGGTGGGAGTTCAGAGGGCTTTTGGGGGTTTAGGGTTAAGGGTTTAGGGTTTAGGGTTTAGGGTTTAGGGTCAGGGTTTAGGGTTTAGGGTTTAGGGTTTAGGGTTTAGGGTTTAGGGTTTAGGGTTTAGGGTTTAGGGTTTAGGGTTTAGGGTTTAGGGTTTAGGGTTTAGGGTTTAGGGTTTAGGGTTTAGGGTTTAGGTTAGGGTTTAGGGTTTAGGGTTTAGGGTTTAGGGTTTAGGGTTTAGGGTTTAGGGTTTAGGGTTTAGGGTTTAGGGTTTAGGGTTTAGGGTTTAGGGTTTAGGGTTTAGGGTTTAGGGTTTAGGGTTTAGGGTTTAGGGTTTAGGGTTTAGGGTTTAGGGTTTAGGGTTTAGGCCTTGGTTGAAGGTTTGTGGAGATGCACAAGTACGTTCCGTCATAAATGAGGCAGCGCAACCCAGACCTAACGTCCTTGGATGTCGGCCGAGGTCGACAGTCGTTCTAGGGTGCCCTAGAATATGGGGTTTGGGGTTTAGGGGTTTAGGGTTTGGGGTTTAAGGTTTAAGGGTTTTAGGGTTTTGGGGGTTTTAGGGGTTTTAGGGGCTTTAGGGGCTTTAGGGGTTTTAGGGGTTTTCGGGGATTTAGGGGTTTTAGGGGTTTAGGGCCCTAAACCCTCAACATCTCAGCGCATCTGAGAAGCATCGAAGTCATCGGCAGGCAAGTTGTCGGCACCACCGCCACCGCCGCCGCCCCCTCCAGACACCTGCAGTCCAGGGGTTGTGCCTTGGACCCTTCACGGTATACCCTTGGATTTTGGGGTGCCTTTATAAAGATCTTTAAGGTAGTAGAGCCGTATGTATTAGGAGTAGATTAAGGGCTTGATGCAACAACTTTTGTGACCCGAACATTACTATCCGTTTTCATGTAACTAACTGACCTGACAGATTGTCGTTTCATGTCCACCCAGCAGCTACATTGTTTTCGGTGCGGCCTGTCTCGGTTCAGGTTTAGTGTTGAGGGGTCAGGGCTGAGGCATTAGGGTTGCGGGTTTACGGTTGAGGGTTTAGGGTGGTTAAAAGCCCTGAAGCCAGAAGGGCAGAATGGTGACAATGTGCTTCCTGCTTGAAGCATGAAACCCCCCCCCCCCCCAAGGTTCCGCCTTGAAAAAGGGAGTGTATGGGGTTTATTGGGTGGCCCCCTAAACCCTCAACTCTAAACTAAACCCATATAGAATTTATAAGGTTCAAAGGGCTTAAAACGGTTTATAGGTTTTAGGGTTTGGGGTCCCTAAGACAGAAACCCTTAAGCCCAGTAAGAAGGAAGTACCACATCTCCCTGGCAGCCTCGCATCTTGCAGCTTCTGGGGCTATGGTTCCTTAAGCGGCTTAGGGTTTAGGGATTCCCTTAAGGGGTAAAAGTAGGGGCCCCTAGTAGGGGCCCTTCATCTTTTTCCCTCTATATACCTAAGTGGCCCCTGAATAACCCCTAAATCTCCCCGAAGTTCCTTATCAGGGTAGTTCCTTTAGTCCCTTGATTGGACTATAACTCCTTAAACCATACTCAGACATCGCTATCTGTCAAGGAAGATTCCTGAAACCATTTGTGGGCTCCAGCGTAGTTTACGGAATCTTCTGCAATAAAACCATGTTGGGGCCCCCAACCCCCAACCCCGAACCCCTGACCTCTAAACCCTAAACCCTGAGATTCCTGTGTCCCTAAACCCTAAACCCTAAACCCTAAACCCTAAACCCTAAACCCTAAACCCGTAAGTTTCTGAGTGTTAAGAAGCAGGCTGTGGGCCGAGAGCCGAGCCATGGCTTTCGGGTTCAGGGTTTAGGGTTTAGGGTTTAAGGGTTTAGGGGTTCAGGGGTTTGGGGTTTAGGGTTTAGGGTTTAGGGTTTAGGGTTTAGGATGCACAGT